TTCTATCATTACATGCGATGCTGTTAATCTTTATCCCTTTGTATTGTAATTATCTGTACCTCTGTCCCTCTCCTCCACTAGATGGGACTCCTTGAAGCAGAAATAGTCTTTCTGGATGACAGCACAATGCCTAGCACATAGTAGGTCAAAGAATACATATTCATTAAAATGAATGACATTAAAACAAGCCAAGAGGCTTGCTATCCAAGGAGAATAGTTCTTGGCAGACTTCAGAATCCTTCCATCAGCAAAGGAACTAAGAAGAATCCATTGTAGAATCTCTGGCCACTTGTTCTGTGACAGTAATGGAGCACCTTCAGTTAAGTAGAAGACCTTTATCATGGGCAAACTGATATAACTTATTCTCCAATAAACAAAAATAGGAGAACTCAGAACTTTCAAGGGGAAAAAAACCCAGCGCCAATCCCACACTGTTGGTAAGAGCATTTGCTTTCTGTGGTCTATGGTTTTATTGTATTTTTTTTCTCTCCTAGCATTAAAAATGGCCTTGAATTATCTTGATCTTTTTTCATTCAGTGGATAGCCTTTAAAGGAAAAAAAAAACAGTAAATAAGGGAAAAAATATTGACACATAGATAAAAATACAGTTGTCCTCGCAAATTTAATTTTTAAACTCAGCTGATTATCTTAAATTCAATATATTTTCAAACCCTTTTTTAAAAAGTGTCACCTAATAACATTTAATGTCAAATATATCATTTGTTCGAATAAATAAAACACCACTAGTGATTGGCACTGAAAGTTTTATAAATGCGGTTGGTTTATTTAAATAATTTAGTTAAGCTTTGGATTCTCATGTACCCCTTCTGGCCTAATGAGTTGGAGACCTCTCAAACATATATCAGGGAATTTCTTGGGCAGAACCACCTTTTAAGAAATTAAAGTGGAGGAAAGTTTTCAGAGGTATTTTTGTTTCATTTCCCTTGGAAGTGTTAGATGTACTTTTACCATATTTATTTATTACATTTAATTTGAATATGAGACAGACATTTGAGGAAAATTCCATTAAAATTTCTAAGATGATATCCTTTATACAGGGGAAAAAGTGTGGTATGGCAGCTGACAATTATTTGAAAAAGGTCTGTGCTGCTGACTTAGGATCTTTACTACAGGTGATTGGAAAATGCACCTGTAGTATCCGGGCACAGAGAGGTATTTTTAAAAAGAAATTAAGGTACTGTAGTCAGAATAATGCCCTCCAAAAATGTTTACATTCTCATCAGGTTCTGTCAATATTTTGTTAAATGTCAAATTAAGGAATTGTTTGGAGAAGATATTAGGGTTTCTAATTAGCTGACCTTAATATAAAGGGATTATCCTGTTTGATCCGTGTGGTCCTAGGCTACTCACAAAGGTCCTTAAATGTGGAAGGGGGGGCAGAAGAAGTCAGTTAGATTTAAAGATAGAAAAAGGGGACACCAACTGGGGAGTGCCTTAGAAGCACAGCAGGTAAGGCAACATCCTCCCCAAGAAGCTCCAGAGAGGAACACTTTTACCAAAACCTAGATTTTAGTCCAGTGAGACTTCCAACCTATGAGACTAATACATTTCTGTGTCCATGGTCACTTGTTACAGCAGCAACAGAACACTAACACAGGTACATTCGATGTGATGCTACACAGTCATTAAAAATAATACCTAACACATAATGTGGAAAATGTTCATGGTAAATTGTTAGGTTAGAAAAGCAGCTCAGGAAACACTGTAGGACAGTGAAATCAAACAAATATATACCTGTTTAGGGAAAATTTGAAAGATAGGCTGTAAAATGATATTCATGGTTCTCTGTGGATGTTGGGATTATTATTTTTCCGTCTTCTTTCTGTACTTCCCAAGTTTCTTATTTAATCAGAAAATAAAATTAAGTGTTGAACATGATTGACCTTAACAGTGGAGATAGGTTACTCATAGTATTTTATCTCCTTCAAAATCTTGGAGAGGAGATGAGCTCCAATGAATATAGTAAGCTCCTGTAGGTTAGCTTGTGCTCAATCCTTACTTTGCCAAATTTCTGCATCTCAAACACACTGAAAATATATTAACGTCTACCTGCTTTATTTTTGATTTTTTTATGAGCTAAAGTTTGAAACCTGAGCCATAGGAAATTAGAAAATATTTTTGGCATACAAAGATTAATCTCTGAATATTTGTATTAATGGTGTAAAGATTACAATAGCAGGATAGCTAAGTACACAGGTGTAGTATCTAAGAGTAAAATCCGAGGTGAGTGGACTTAAACTTTATGGGCTCAGCTGGATACTGCCTTTCACTTTTCCTTACCAGATACACTCCTGGCACCCATCATTGTTAAAAAGTCTTTCTTTCATGCCTTATGTATTTGATTTTCATTAGTGGTGGGTTTTATTGTTGCTCTTGATAGATGTAGAGAATGTAACTTAAAGGAAATTAAACCTCTATAAGCAGGATAAAATTCTCCATGTTAAGTCAAATGCTTTGATGTCAAGAGCATTTTCAATAACTATTATCTACCATACAAAACTGCTTAACTTTAATATAAAGTCCTGGTTCCGAGTCACTGGGTAGAAGACCATTATTTAGTACCTGGGAGGCAGCAGACTGCAGCGACCAGGAGGGGAGCTCAGGCATCACAGGTGATGGTTGCAGCCTTCACTGTGTCTCTGTTCCTGGCAAGTGACTCCAACTTCTTGAGTTCCTTTGTAAAAGGGACTGTGACGATCCTCATCGCCTACAGTTATCGTGAGAAGGAAAGGAAACAAAATGGCTCTCTCTGTATCAGTAACTGGTGGCTATCATTATAGCTGAAGGCCCTTTTTACTGAGTATTGTTACTTGAACTACACAATTCAAGAAAATTCAGTAACTGCTTGTGTTTGGTCATTTCAAGGCATGTTTTCTTATTAGGTGTGACAAAGTAACATGTATCTAACAAAAAACTGCTGTTGTATGGGAAGCTAACTGGCAGAAGTAGCAGAAACTTCTGTTTGATCTGTGTTTGTTTCCTATCACCTCAGTAGAGTGAGAATACAAACCTGCACCTAGTGTCTCCAAAATGCTTTATAAAGGGGATGTGATTTCTTCTCCTGTGACACAGTGTAAAAGAGGACCCTGGTGTTTTTAGGTACAACTCCTAAAGGAAAAAGAGAGACAAGAGTGTATTTGGCGTTGGCCTCTAAGCTCTCCCAGGGAAATGATGGGAATGTAATGAAAACAGGAGCACCTTGCTGGAACTTACCTTCTCTCTCTGTTTGCTTATCACTCTTAAGGACTTTTTTTTTTAAGTGTATGGCAAAGTCAAACCTGTTACTTTGTGAAATAGCAACCATGTCCAAGTCTTCAAGGACAATTGCAATAAAACCCAAAGCACGAAAGAGGCACTTCAAACAGGGAAATGCTTTTCCTAAGATGTTAAATCAGGAGTGACTAAAAAAGCCAGATTACTTATGTAAAAATGAGGAATAAAAAAAAATTCTTAAATTTAAATAATCAAATGAAATATCCTTGGTTTACTAATTTCCCTTACCCTGTCTTGGAATAAATTCTTTATTCAACAATGTTGAGGCTCTAGGGGATCTTGGGATAATCTTCAGACAGAAGGTTAAACTGTCCTTTTTGTGCTAAATGTTGGGTACACAACCACACTGCATATTTTCAAAGCAAACTGCTAAAAATTCAGTATGCTTCAGAAAGTTTGTAAGTTTTCACAATCAGTGTTTTAACACAGAAATCTGTTTATTAAACCAAACAAAACAGAGAAAATTATACCAGCCCTCGATTTTTTTTTGAATTTTCATTTAAATAAGCAAACTCTAAATCCACACCTTAAAAGATGTTTGCATCTATGTATTTCCAAAATACTCATATTTCAATAAGATTTTCACATTATATTCACCAACAGTATCACAAAAGTTTTTTTTGTTTTGTTTTGTTTTGTTTACGTAACTGTCAGGAACAGTAATTCTAGAAACACTAGAAGAAAAAGCATAGCAATGTCCACAGTTACAAGAAAAAGTGCACATTACTTGGTCACAATCACAGTCATTACTTGAAAAACTATATGTAACAAGTACATAAATATCACTGATGCCTTAAACTCATTATCAAAAACTGAATGACATAAGTTTTACGTGAAATAAGGCAAATTCAGGAATGCACAAAGAATTCATAATCCAACCAAAGCTGAACAACAGAAAAATAATTATACAAGAAGCATAAACTGATGTACTTCTCCCTAAATATTTAGAAAATAGGCTTGCCTCAGTGCACAAAGAAAACACCATTCATGTGTATCCAACACTATAAAATAAGAAAGAAGGGCAAAGTGTGGGGGGAGAGGAGGGGACAGTTCATTGAAAGTTGCAGCTGCATCGACTGAGTTCTTTACATCATTGTTACTTAGAACTGTAAATTATACAAATCCTATCAGGAGAGGTAATGGTCTTTTTGGAAACTATTTCTGAAATAGTGAAAGAAAAACTACACACGAGTGCAAATTTTCAGATTGTCACTTGCAACCTCTTAACATTCAGCCATCTACATCCAATTGCTGCTGGAGGCATGCCTGAAACACAGCAGCGTCAATCCGGGGTGAGCAGCTGTAAGGAACCAAGGTGTGATTTTTTTTTTCAATGATATGTCTTTTTTAATATTAAAAAATTCTGTGATGAAAACCTCTATTGCAAAACCGCAATGTTGAGTGGCATGATGAGCGTGAGTGCAGAAACATAGGCTTCTCTTAGAAGTAGTTCCTGATGTGACGATTTAAAGAACGTAGCAAGGGTTTGTTTTCCAGCATTGTTATTTTTGTAGAAAGAATTTGGAAAGAGGAGAAGGCAAAGGGATGTGGAAAAGGTACTTACAGTAGTTTCTCAAAACAGTTTTCTTTTAGGACCTATGAAAAAGTTACCAAAGTAAAAATGACAATTTTGAATGAAAAACAAGTTTTCTTTTTATAAAAATTACATATATATTTTTTAAAATACAAGATCCTTCTCAATGTTGTTATATCCTGTAGCAACAAGAAATTTGGCTTTTTTTTTTTTTTTTTTGCCAGATACTGCAGCTTTCTGTCCAATAAGTCAGTAGCAAATTCCACTAATATTTCAGTTGGATCTTGAACTATTTTTTTTATACCACAAGCTTCTTCTGTTTTATCCTTGAATTAGGAATATACAGCCTTTTTTTTTTTTTTTTTTGCCCCAGATATTTATATGCTGACAAACTAAAACAAAAAGCAGTTGGCTGGACACATTACAGTATCTCAAGTACTTCAGAGGTCAGAGTTCCTTTGAAGCACCTTAACACATCACTTTATGGATCAAGGACAATGTGGCATAATGGAAGTACTTCTCTTAAGACTGTGCAGTAAGACCAGAAGCATCTCTGCTGGGAAATCAAAATGTCATTAGTGGAAACTGCAAATTTAGACCTCAGTGAAGAGGACCGTCATTTGACTCAGTTCTGTTGTAAAATAAGATTTTCCAGTTCATCTGCAGAACGCAATAAAAATGCAGCTGATTCTCGATATCCTGCAACGAGCTGCCTCACAGCACTGATCTCAGTTGGACTCAGCTGGGGTCTGGAGCTTGAACTGCTGGAGGAGCCTGAGCTAGTTGCCAACTGCCTCTTCATGCTGAGATCCGTGGGTCCTAGAAAAAATAATCACAAAATTAACACGAACAATCTTTGTTCCAGTACTTTGAACATGAGCATTAAATTGTGGACTTAATTCACTTACTCTTTTGTGAGAAGCTGCTGATACTTTTAATCAAATACATCAGCTCTCCGAAATACCAAAGAACAACATGATGTGAAATGAGTGGCTGAGTATTCTGAGAGTTCTTGTCCAGGCAATCACCTCTGACTGTGAAAAGTCCGTGAAGAAGACCTTCTCCTAACATGTGCTTTTTGGAAAATTCAATTTTAAGTCTACTTTACCCTGTGTTGTAGAAGTTTCTCCGCAGCAGTGTAAAATATTGGGACTTATAAATGCTTTGTGTTTGCACCGTTGGTTAACAAATAATTTTAGATTCCACCTACTCAGACTTGGAAACATCCTAGATTGTGATGCTAATGACTCCAGATTACAAACTCCTCCATTTAGAACAAAGGAAATTTGGACAGGGGAATTCAATGACATGGTTACAATTCCACAACTTTTAAGTGGCACAGTAAGGATGTGAATTGCATATTTTTTCATTTCAGGCGAATGCTTTTTTTCCATCAGATTGATTAGTATTTAAAATATGTATTAGTAAAAATTAGTATTTAAAAATATTGGACAGCAGTTGGTTTTAGAGGGGCGCAGTAAGTACGTGATCAGTACAATCTGCAAAGAAACCAGACCTGGAATGGTGCTTTAGGTATTGCTAAAGCTGCTTCTATATTTATTTGCATAAAACATTTAGTTGTCAAAAGGTTTATTACATATAATTAAACCAAATCAGACAGGTCTGTTTTTTGACATTTTGTAAATTTTTAGTTTTTTGTAAATTTCTACTTTAAAACAATTTAGTTAACACAAATGTCTGAATTAAAGATTTTTAAGATGCTTCGCATCAATTCTTGATTAAGGGTTTTTAATGTGTTATAAAGGTTTTTAAGTGTTCATTGCTATAACAATTAATGAAAAGTAAGAACTATAATTATTAAATTTGCAATGAGTAATACATTTAAAATCCCTGAATAAATATAACTGTGGACATAACTAAAGGCAGGCTCAAAAATTGTAGTGATGCTCTAACTTGAAATGATTTAAACAGATTTTTCTTAAAGATAACTTTTCAGATAATGGTATTCATTTCCTGAACTGAAACAAGGGATGTTATTTTATCCTGTTCGTTCTTCTTGAGGCCTGACGAGACCAGTCAGGACCCAACCCCCTTCACTCTGTACCCTGAAGGGAGAAGAGAACTCCTGTCAGCTAGGTGGCACATGTCCCATGAGATGGGAACAGCTTCACTTGTAATTTAATTAGGACAGAGACAAGACTAGCACACAAGAACTCTGACATTTGAGAGGGACTTATTTCCACTTCTGCCACAACCTCTCAAAGCCTTGATTTCCTAGCAGGAGTTAGCTTCCATTTGTTCTGCTGTTTACAAAATCCTGCTGCTGACATAGCAAGCTGAAAGGGAGAGATGTGGGGATGTCTCACTTGCAAACAGGAATTAATGAACAAGTGTGCAAGCAAATCAATAGCAACTAGGTTATTTGGAAAGTTCTGAATGGATTAAGAAAATATCATGACATAATGGATTCTGGTTTATGGACGAACCAACTTTAAATTTGGATATTTTTCCCTTTATATTCAAGAATCCCCGTACCAGTACAAAGCTTTATAAAAGGAAGTAGAAAGGATTTTCCTCAGTTATGTAGATATGGCACGTCTAGTTGATGATCATTATTTTGTTAGAAGTTGTAACATTTTATGATGTTTTTGCTGATAAGCCAAGTGGTTGGTTTACATCTTTAAGTGGAATTGAGAAAGGGTTAGCCTAGGGCTCAGGTTCTTTTTGGGATGAAAAAGATGGTGATTTCATTCTAACACTGCAGTTTACAGATTATTCTTTACCTCTGGCTCAGGGGTAAAATCTTCCCAATTAAGACATGGCTTTCACTTTCTTTCCGATTATTAACATAGGCAAATTCTAGATAGCTCAAGTAACACAGAAGCCATTCACACCTTTGTTATTTTTCTGGAAGAAAGTTGACTTCATTATCTTGGTGTCTTTTGGATCTACACGATAAGGATTAAGTATAATCAAAACTATAAGGAATTCTTTTTGCTGAATATTACTCAAATCTTCAAAGCTAAGAGGTTGAGCAGGGAAGCAAAAAAATTAAAAGTCACAAATGAACAAATTTAGTGACTACTCAAACAGCCCTTTCATTGTTTGTTACTAGTATTCTTACCTGCCTCGTTTAGACAATGTCCTACTTCTTTGGGTGCATAACCCAAACAATCAATACAAAGTAAAACTTCAAATTTTATGAAGACACTGGATTTAATGAATTCGAGGAAAATATCTTTGGAGATTTAATCAAATTACAAAGCCACTAAAAAATATGGTTCTGGAAGAGTGGGACCAGTTAACAAAACAAGCAAAAATAATGACACAATAGGTGTTTCAAGAGAAAATGATTTGAATATCAAGAGTTAAAGCAAATCAGAAAACTTGACAAGTTTTAAAACCATAATTATGCAGATCTACTTTATGTTCATTCTGAAAATTTGAGTAAGAGATATTTCATGGTAACAGGCAATGTTAGAAAAATTAAGCTTCACCAAAACCAATCTTTTTGTTTGTTTGTTTAAGGTTTGGAGGCAGATTTAAGTTATATGTAAATTCTAATTAAAGGAAAATGTATATCCATAATTCACTTTATTTTTTGATATATTTTTAAATTAAAATATAGTTCACATACAATGTTATATTAGTTTCAGGTGTACAACACAGTGATTCAATACAACTCTGTTATGCTAGGTTCTTTTTTCTTTTTGTTTCAAGTTTTTATTTAAATTCTAGTTTACATTTGGTGTAATACTAGTTTCAGGAGAATTTAACGATTCATCATGTACATATAACAACCAGTGCTCATCACAAGTGTCCTCATTAATACCCATCACCCATTTTTCCCATCCCTTCCCCTTTTTCCCTTCAGCAACCCCCCATTTGTTCTCTATAGTTAAGAGTCTATTTTATGGTTTGCCTCTTTTTTTTTCTTTCCCCTATGTTCATCTGTCTTGTTCCTTAAATTCCACATATGAGTGAAATTGTATGGTATTTCTTTCTCTAACTTATTTCGCTTAGCATAATACACTCTAGCTCCATCCATGTCATTCAAATGGCAAGATTTCGTTCTTTTTGATAGCCAAGTAATATTGTTGGCTATCAAAAAGAATGTGTGTCATGTATATATATGTGTGTGTGTGTGTGTATATATATATATATATATATACACACACACACACACATACATGCTATCTCTTCTTTATCCATCAGTCAATGGACATTTGGACTCTTTCCATAATTTGGCTATTGTTGATAATGCTAAATACATTGGGGTGCATGTGCCCCTTTGAATCAGTATTTTTGTATCCTTTGGATAAATACTTAGTAGTGCAATTGTTAGGTCAAGGGTAGTTCTATTTTTAACTTTTTGAGGAATCTCCATACTGTTTTCCAGCTGCACCAGTTTGTATTCCCACCCACCAGTGTAAAAGGGTTCCCCTTTCTCTGCATCCTCACCAACATCTGTTGTTTTCTGTGGTGTTAATTTTAGTCATTCTGATCAGTGTGAGGTAGTAGCTCATCATGGTTTTGATTTGTGTTTCCCTGATGATTTTGTTGACTTATTTTTTTAAAATATCAAACATTTGGAAATAAGAGCAGGCAAGATGCCTGGCCTTGTTAATGGAGCCGCAGTGTCAGGAAGCCTGGGTCTTCTTTCTACTTCTCCTCTGACTCACTGCTTTCTGGAGGATGAATCATATGCCCTTTCTTGGCATTGGGTCTCACTTCCTTCGTCTCCCCTATAAAATGGGTATATTTGCCCTTTCTACCACATAGGAGGGGGCTGAGGCTGGAAGAGGCCTTGGTCATAAAAAAAAATGGTTTTGATTTGTGTTTCCCTGATGATGAGTGAGGTTAAGCATCTTTTCATGCGTCTGTTAGCCATCTGTGTGTCGTCTTGGGGAAAAAGTCTATTCCTGTCTTCTGCCCATTTTTTAACTGGATTTTTTTTGGGGGGGTGTTGAGTTTATTAAATTCTTTATAGATTTTGGATACTAACCGTTTATCAGATAGGTCGTTTGCAAATATTTTCTCCCATTCTGAAGGTTGCCTTTTCACTAAAATGTAGCTATCATCCGTCACCATACAAATCTATTATAATTCCATTAACTATATTCTGTAAGCTGTACCTTTCATCCCTGTGACTTAGTCATTCCATAACTGGAAGCCTATATCTTCTACTCTCCTTCAACCACTTTGCCATCCCCCATCCCTCTAGCAACCATTAGTTTGTTCTCTGTATTTATGGGTCTGTCTCTGCTTTTATTTGTTTTAAGTTTCACAAATAAGTGAAATCATATGGTATTTGACTTTCTCTAATACCATCCATCCATGGTATTAGAGAAAGTCCATCCATGTGGTCTCAAATGGCAATATCTCATTCTTTTTTTTATGATAGTCCATTACACAAATGCACACAACCCCACAGCCCATGCATTTATTGATGGACACTTGGGTTCTTCCATATCTAGGCTATTGTTAAAAATGCTGCAATAAACATAGAGGTACATATTTTTTTTCAAATGAGTGTTTCTATTTTCTTTGGGTAACTATCTAGTAGTGAACTCCTGGATCGTATGGTATTTCTATTTTTAATTTTTTGAGGAAACTGCATACTATTTTCCATAGTGGCTACATCAGATTACATTCCCACTGGCAGTGCATGAGAAGGGTTTCTTTTTCTACACATCTTCACCAACACTTGTTATTTCTTGTCATTTTGAGTCTAGACATTCTGACAGGTGTTAGGTGATAACCTCATTGTGGTTTTGATTTGCATTTCTCTAATGATTACTAACATTGAGCATCTTCCATGTGTCTGCTGTCCATCTGTATGTCTTCTTTGGAGAAAT